CAAAGCAGGTGCATAAGCAAATCAAAAGATATAGCATCTGGGGTCTCAAAGTGCTGAAGGTAAACAAGCGGCCATCTAACTCAAAAGCAACAAAGCCCACATGGAAGAAGCACACCAGCCTGTATGATCACAAGGTGTCGAAGGGATGAGGTATCAGGCATCAAAGAACAAAAAATCGTTATCAATGTGAATGAAGGGGAGGGCAGAGTGGGGACCTAAAGCCCATCTGTAGGCAACTGGACATCGCCTCACAGAAGGCTCAAGGGGAAAAGACAAGCCAGTTCCGGTGCAGTGTAGCAACAATGAAACATACCACTTTCCTCTAGTTCCTAAATGCTCCCTGCCCACCCCTCCCTCCTATCATGATCCCAATTCTACCTTACAAATCTGGCTAGACCAGAGGATGTATACTGATACAAATAGGAACTGGAAACACAGGGAATCCAGGATGGATGATCCCTTCAGGACCAGTGGTGAGAGTAATGATACCAGGTGGGTGGAAGGAGGGTATGGTAGAATGGGGGAACTGATTACAGGGATCTACATATAACCTCCTCCCTGGGGGACAGACAATAGAAAAGTGGGTGAAGGGAGAAGTCAGACAGTGTATGATATGACAAAATAATAATTTATAAATTATCAAGGGTTCACGAGGGCGGGGGAAGTAGGGAGGGATGGGGGAAATGAGGAGCTGATGCCAGGGACTTATGTGGAGAGCAAATGTTTTGAGAATGATGAGAGTAACAAATGTACAAATGTGCTTTATACAATTAATGTATGTATGGATTGTTATGAGTTGTATGAGCCCCCAATAAACAATTTTTTAAAAATCCCAGCCCAGTCCAGATCAAGCCCTTAAGTCTGATATTAGCCCATATGTCTGATATCAGTCTGTAAATTCTTCTTTAGACTCATGCAACACATGCAATGACACTGAATGCAGGAAGATCACAGGCCAGTGGGTGGACAGTATTGTGGATCCAGTGGTAGTGGAAGCATCTTAGTGCTAGCAGGGGTCTACAAGTGGCTTCTCCAGCTCCAAGGTTCTGGCTGCAATAAGCATAGCTCCATGTGGCTTGTCAACAGGAATGTCTTGCAGGGAGAGAATATATCTGGCCTCCAGTGAGCTATATATCTGGCCTCTATTGAGCTATTTATCTCCTTAGCACTGCCAAATGAAGTCATCAACCTGCAACCTGATTGATAGGCTAAACTCGACCTCCTCATTCTTAATAGTGTCAAGTTGACACCAGATTATGTAATTACCACACTATCGGACAGATAATTTGTAAACTTGATTATGGTGGGTCTAACAATGGTATAATATGATACAGTCAGTTGACCCACCTCTTGACCCAAACTGAATTTGCTCTAGGCTCATGTATTGTTCCACAACAAAAATGTCTTCTCTTTTAAAATACTGTTTCCCCGAAAGTAAAACATCCCCCGAAAATAAGACTTACTTTCAGTTTTGCCTCTCGCTGAAATATAAGGCATCCCCCGAAAATAAGACCTCCCCGAACATAAGGCCTCCCCGATAATAAGGCCCCCTGAAGCTACCGTAACTCTGGACTCTGGACTGTGGCAGTGGGAGCTGCCGCACAGGTCACTGTTGGCCGCAGCGCAGCCGGATCAGACAGGAAGTGAGAGTAAATGTACCTTAGATTATGAGTAAATGTACCATAGATTGTTGTTCATAGAAATAATGGTAGTAACAAGAAATTCTTGACACCAGACAGTTTGTCTGGTTATGCTGGTTTGTGATGACAACTACTACCGTACCATATACAGATAATAAATTTCCTTCTTTGTTGTTCAACAATCAATGTGTACCATATTCTTCTTCACAGAAAAATAAGATATGCCCTAGCGCATCTTTAGGAGCAAAAATTAACATAAGACACTGTGTTATTTTCATGGAAACAGGGTATTGATGGTGTTATTTTCTTTCTTACTATTTATTTTTATCTTTATATTATTATTTTCTTCTTGCTGTTTTGTTTTTTATCTGTGAATATTATATCAAGAAAACTAATTTTTTAAAAAGAAACTAAACTTGACCAATGGTTACTATAGGTCAAAGAGGAAGGGTTTTTGCTTAGGGGGCACTGAGTTTATGTTAATGGTGGTGGAATAATTTGGAAAAAGATATCAGTGATGATTGTAACACGACAAGTATTATCAAAGGCACCAAATTATACATGTAGAAATTGTTGAAATGGAAAACAACAACAACAACAACAAAAGAAAATTTAAAAATCCAAATTACAGCAGGACATCTCCCAGCTATCATGCCCGGTCCTCCAGGGAGCCTGGCTGCAATGTTGAGAGTGTGCTGCAGGCATTTATTTCATTAGCTGTAAAACTACAACACACAGGCCACGGTGGTTTTTAAAACTGTGGATCTGGAATAAGCTTTGGGTATCAGGCCCAACATTTGAAAAACTTGAGTCCTTTTAATAATCTCAAAGTGCTGCTTAGGTAGCAAGGACCCCTGGTCCTGCAGTGGTTAAATACTGGGCTGCTAACCAGAAGGCCGGCTCCTCAATGGTAGACAGACATGGCAGTATGCTTTTGTCAAGGTTTACAGTCCTTGGAAAACCATTGAGTGTGCTCTTTGCAGTGCCGCTAAATTGGTATCAATTAGATAGCAATGGGTTTACTAATACAGCAAAAGTAAACGCTATTTCAAAAGTGAATTGCATTAAGGCTTGCCCAGGAAATTAATTGTCCATTCAACCATTCATACACATTTTTTTTTTGCTTCAACTCATTCATTGTAATCTTCACAGTATCTCATCACTTATCCCATGGACCTGTGTTTGCTTCATTTCTCCTTTCACAGCTCTTTGCCCTTGGTTAATTGTTGCTCTTCTAATCTCAAAAGGTTTATAGCTCAATGGAAAGCTTACTTCCCTTGTGTTTCCCTTTAGACCTGCTTATTGTTTGCCTAAAAATTAAGCCAATGAGATAGTGCATTTCCAGACCTGGAGGGTGGCTATAGGGCATAGTCCCAGAGGTTCCGCTAGCTTCAATCCGACCAGCAGGCCTGGCCTTTTTAATGATTTTGAATTCTTTTTATTTATTATTTTTTAAATCATTTTCTTAGGGGCTCATACAACTCTTATCACAATCCATACATACATCAAGTGTGTAAAGCACATTTGTACATTCATTGCCCTCATCAT